CAGCAGTTCCTTCTTGAATTCGGCTCTCAATAGCAGCCTTGAATTTGGAGACGTCCACTCCCATATGCTCCTGGAGGAATTTTTCCCCTTCCATCAGTGGGGGAAAAACCTCCATCTCCATAGCATCACAGAAGGTTTTCAGAGCTTCGGCAGCTTTTTTACCGTACTCCTCAACCTCCTGCTGCTTCTCTTCAGCTGCTGCTTGCTTCAGCTTAGCAAGCTTAACTTCCTCTTCAGCCACCTTCCTTTCGTGCACAGCAGCGTCTACCCTATCTTGTAGGGTATCAATCAGCTCTACAGTGAGAGTCTGATTGTGCACGAACTGAAAACAGGGGCACAAGTTAAAAAAGTAAAAAATAATAGCTGAAAGGTTGAGTTCAGAAAGAAATCAAGGCAAGGAGAATTACCTGCATCATCAGCAGTTGGTTGGACCTGGCAGGGTCAGGAACTGATCTGCTGGATTCGCCCATCCCAGCAGTGGCCTTCAGCGACCAAATCCTTGCCCTATCTACTTCGGACAGGCCAGCAAAATCGCCGAAGTAGGCTGCAGCACCTTCTCGGTTCTGACCCCATATGAGGTCCCAGATGTGGTCTGGGACTGGAATTCGGGGGGCCGAGAAACCCATTTCTCCAGACTGCAGCGTCTGGAAGGAAGGGAAGGATGACGATGGAGCCTCTTTAGCTTTGGGTGGCTCAACGTCCTCCTCCTTCTCAGAAGAGTCAATTATTGTGACCTCTTCTTCTTCAGGTGTGAGGACGAAGGCCCCAACCTCTCTGGCAATGTCCGCCGTGAAACCCTCAGCACTGGGCATCACGGCGTCTCCATCCTTGTCCTCGGCGGCACTCTCTCGAGCTTCTTCCAGAACCTCTCCCTTAGGTTTGGGAGTTCTCTGATCCACCTCCATCTCGGGGGTGGCGGAGAGGCCCTTGGGGGTGATTGAGGCGGTGGCCGGGGAACCCTCGGCGATCCATTGCCTTCCTCGGGTTCCCTTATTTCAACGCCGATGGTCATCGGCCTCCGCTGAAAGTCATGCGGGCCGATGATGGCCATTCTTCGGCGCCTCTTCTGAAGCGGCTGCTCGTCCATACCCGAGTCTGAAGACTCTTCTTGTACTTGGTCTTCGGGACGAACAGGGGCTTTCCCTTCCCTGTGTCTGCTGCTCTCTTCAGACTGTAAAGGGCAGGCAGGGGGAAGAATGTGAGTAAAAAAAAAAAAAGAAGAAGAAAGACAAAGTTAAGTCTAAAGGCTCACCGAGGTCTTCAGCAAAGCCTCGTCTTCTTCAGCTGCCCTAGCCGCAGCTTCTTCAGCAACTCTGGAGGACCCTTCTCCACCTTCACAAGCTTCAATAACCCGTGCAACCTCTTCGGCTGTACGGGCAGCTTCAGCTTCTTCTTCCAGCAGCTGAAACAAGGGATCTCTCTTCTTCCACCAAGGCTTCTGCCTCTGATACAGAGCAACAGCCTCAATTTGGAAGTGGGAAGAGTCTAGGTGAACCTCTCGGCGCCTTGGTTCAGTGATAGGGGAGCCCGATCAGTTACGACTCGTTCTCGGTTGACGCCAAGGCGAGCGTAATCAATGCCGACGTTGGTCTCGTCCCGTTCTGAAAAAGAAAAGGGGAGAAGTCAATTCAGTTAGTTCGGCACATCACAAGAAAGCAAAATGAAAGAAGAAAAGAGATAATTAAAAGGCCTCGGCCCCAGCCGAAGAAGATTACCATCCCTAAACTTTCGGCTGAGGCCGACAGCTGCCAGCATATTCTCTTGGAAAACATAGTGCGTATCGGGGAGCCAAGTCTCCGGGATATGCTGCATTCGGCCGCTGCCTCCCCGGTTCGGCAGCTTGCCGAAGATGTTCTGCTGATTAAGGTTCGGGTCTGGCCCGCTATCTTCGGGAGGACCTAAACTTCCCATATCAGGATCCGGCTCGGCAAGATACCGGGGAGCGCTGAAAACGTAAGGGTGGCTCGGCTCCGTGGGTGCCCTAACCCAAATCCATTGACCTCTCCAGTCCTTGTCTGAAGAGTCGTTCGGCCACATGGTTAGGAACGGGGGCCGAGACTCAATCCGATACCACCCAGAGCCATGGCATCCGTGCCCACTTTGAATGTTTGGCACTAGCCGATGGAGCCTTTTGAAGCAATGCAGGTTCGGCACGTACCTGAAGAATTTGCAGACCCATAAGTACGTCATTACCCTTCGGATGCTGGTGGGGGTCAGCTGGCACAGGGAAATGTTGTAATGGATCAGCAAGTCTCGGACGAAAACGTCCAAAGGGAACCTCAGCCCATACTGAAGCTGTCTCGTGTACACCCCCACATACCCCGGGGGTGGACGATGGATTCTATCGGATGCTGAGGGCATTCGGCACCAATATCCATCAGCTTCAAAAATGCCGTAGTGCAACTCAATTTGCTCGGCAAATCGATATTGATCGGCGTTCTCTACCCACCATGAGTAGGGGCGGTTCTTTATCATGGCCGAAGCGACTTCGGCATCCTCCCACTCTGAAAACCCTGGGAGGATATCCCAAAGGACAGCGGGAACTTCATCATCCCGTCCTGAAGCGCTCACCCCCTCAGCCCTCTGAGGAGGAGCCGAAGAAATGGGAGTCGCCCTAACCCCTTCAGCAGGGTCAGACTCTGTCCTTCGTCCATTCCAGGTCCCAATCCTGTCCCTGGGATCGGGGATTAGCCTTGCTCTCCTTGGAGCACGGGCTCCACCTCTAACTCCCCTCACCATTGACGAATTTCGAAGGAAAAAGTCGAAAAAGGGGAAAGAGTGCAAAGTCGAAGAAAAATGAAACAAAATCAAAGGAATTTACCTTGATCTGAAGCAAAAGTCGCCGATTTACGAATTGGTAGTGACAAGTCTCAGCTTCTAAGCTTAATGCTCGGGGAATTTGCGAAGTTTTGATGCGGGCTCTTGAGCGTTCTTGAGAATTCTGGGTTTGTGTTGATGAATGAGTGGGGAGAGAAGACGCGCCTCTATTTATATCTCCAGAAATGGGAATTCAAGGAGTCTGCGTTTCAATTTCTCTCAAGCACCCCACTAAGTAACCGTTAAACACACGACCTTGCAGTTAAATCGCCCACTACCCATCCAACTTCCGCAATTATCCACATTAACTGTTGTTATCTCATTAATCATGGGTTAATTACGGTTTAAATTCACATTTTTGGATTAACAAATCATTCACTTCCCTCCTTTTCTGATTAAATCAAACCCGACCCGTCATCCTTCCAAATCAGGTCTGGGGGGCAAGTTGTTTGGGTCCAATTTAGTCCAATTGGGCCTGGTCACTGAATGATCCAATTAAAAGCCCAAGGTTAAGGTTCAACTCTCCAAATGTGCTAAAGTCAAAAATCAACATCCTCAAAGCCATGTCAAGGTCAGTCAACGGCCCAATCAGCTTGGCCCAGCCCAACTGACTTCCGGGCCCAATCCGCCTCCTTCATTAGCCAAGGTATAAAAGCCAACAATTTGGTCAATTCTTGGTAAGACAATAAAGCCTCAAGCAACTAAACTCTTGCACAGCTTTCTCTCTCTAATATACTGACTTAAGCATCGGAGGGGCCTTCCTCGGCGTCCCCCCCCGAGGCTAGTTTACGTGTATTTGTTGTGCAGGAAACCCTCGGCTCCTGCGTCGTTCGGACCGAGACCAAGTTCCCTCAAGATAAAAGGATCTTCCGAGATTCGATTGTTTTCATCCGAAACAAAGTATATACAAAGATAAATACAAAAAGCACAGTAAAATATGATAGTTAACTAATTTCATTTGTATTAACTCATTCAATGTGCATCGAAAAAACCCACTAACAACTGAAGAAATAAACCATTTCAGAACCAAACCAAACAAAAATATCAGCAAAAAAACCCCCAAAAGTTGAAGAAAAGGAGATTATGGTGAATTAAAAGGGTAGAAGAGAAAGAAGGTGGATAAATGAATATACCAGAAGTTGCAGTAATTGAGTCCTATAATAGCAAAATTGCAGTTCTGAGAATGAAAATGGGTACGAAGCAGAGTAAAATTGGGGGGTATTGCTGAAAATTTAGCTTGTGTTTATTGTGTAGTACGAATTCAGGTTTTTTCTTTGAGATTTGAGAAATTGGGGTAAATTTGTAGGTTTGCAGAGATGGTGCAGGATTGCAAGAGGGTGTCACACAGACACCTTGCTAGGCTACCAAACCAAACCATAAAAAAAAAAAAAAAAAAAAAAAAAAAAAAAAAAAAAAGTGACCTTAAATGGGAAATTCCCTTTTTCAAACGAGATTTGTTTCTCATGGGGCATTTTCGAAAATAAATCAACAACTTTTTCATTATTGTGGGCTACACGATTAAATAAAGTTGAATAAAATTGTTAGTTTATTTACGAAAATGCCAAGAAAACAGATTTTATTTCTCACTATGAGAAAATGGGGCATCCTCACCTTAAATATTAAGTTGTTAGACTTTTGTTGACCGGTTTGGGATTGTTAGAAGAAAACATTGGTGAAAGTTGAGATTATTATACAATAATCAAAAGTGGATTATAATTCAAAGTAAATCAGGCAAAGTTGGGATTATTAAAGTGTATTTTTCCTATTATTTAATTATATGTATATACAATAGTTAATAAGTACGGAGTACCTTTCAATTACTAACATTATTAATGTTTGAGGAAAGCTAAGCTACCAATACATTATCTCTACCACTGACCGTTACATGAAATGTTACTTTATTGAGAGAATATGAGAATAAGGATACAAGTGTATTCTAGGGTTAATGACTAAGGATACATAAGTAATTTACAAACTAATGTATACTAGATTATTTATACAATCTAACACAATCCCGCAGTCGAAACGGGAGGACTACGAACGTTGAGTCTGTCCCTAAAATCATCAAATAAGACTTTTGACAGACTTTTAGTGAAAATGCTTGTAATCTGGTATCGGGATGGAACATGTAGTACACGGAACTCATCGCGCTGTAATTTCTCACGAACAAAGTGAATATCAAGTCAATGTATTTTGTTTGTTCGTTGATGTTGAACAGGATTGCCCGAGAGATATGTAGCACTCACATTGTCACAATAAACCAATGTAGCTTTAGAGACCAGACAATGTAGCTTTAATAATAAATTCCGAATCCAACATGACTCAGAGACAACATTAGCAACCCCTCTGTATTCTGCTTCCGCACTAGACTTTGACAAAGTAGGTTGTTGTTTTGAGGACCATGAAATCAAATTATCACCAAGAAAAACACAGTAACCGGATGTGGAATGACGAATGTCAGGGTAGCTAGCCCAGTCGACATCCGTGTAAGACAAGATAGAGGTGATAGATGATTTATATAAGCGTAAGCCAAAAACAGTCATACCTTGAATATAACGCAGAATGCGTTTTAGAGCATCCATAAGAGCAACTCTGGGAGAATGCATAAATAAACATACATGTTGAACCGCATAGGATACCTCAGGTCGAATGAAGGTGTGGTATTGCAGAGCACCACACAATCGACGATACATGGTCAGATCCACATATAGATCACCGGAGTCTGTGCTCATTTTCCCTTTAGAATCAATCGGAGTGGGAGAAGAATTGCAGTTAGCCATGCCTATATTCTCTAGAATTTCCTTCGCATACTTTTTCTGAGACAATGATAAGCCATTCTTGTCACGAGTCACTGCAATACCTAAGAAATAACTCAGGTTTCCCAAATCTTTCATGGCAAATTCAAAACTGAGCCGGGAGATGATTTGGTGACGAAGAGGCTTTGTAGAAGCTTTTAGCACAATGTCATTAACATGCGACAATAAATATGCAATGTCATGACCATGGTGATAAATGAACAAAGAGTTGTCAGATTTGCTGTTAGTAAAACCAATAGTAGTCACAAAATCAGCAAAAACCTAAGCTCGTGATACCATGAGAGAATATGAAAATATTTGTCATAGCCTTCTCATTGATTAATCTTCAATATATATACAAGCGTATACTAGGGTTAATGACTAAGGATACATAACTAAGTTACAAACTTATGTACACAAGATTATTTACATAATCTAACATTTACCAAATACACTTTTTTTTCTAATGTTTTAACTTGTTCGAAGCGCTAATCGTTACCTAAAACGCTACTGCCAAACATGACTTGTGTAGGTTATAAAGGTAAATCACGTGTACAACTATTCATCCTCCAACTAACAAATTAAAAAATATACTAGGTTGCAAATTTATAAAATGAAAAACATATTTATAAGTCACTTTCATAAAGATTACCAAAACAAAAGTTATTGAATATATTGTCAATCCATAATACTCTCTCCGCCCACGATTATCTGCAGCATTTGCTATAAATGGGTGCTCTATATTATCTGCAACAAATTTTTTTTCTTTCCTATTATAGTAAATTTTAAAGCTTAAAAAGACCATCTTAATTACCCTTACTTTTATTTTTTAACTTTGTTTAGCATCTTTAATTTACACTCAATTAAATCCTAATTATCTAACTCACTCTAATGATTCCCACCAAAATATAACCCCCTCCACCCATGTCTCATCAGCAACCATTCATCTCCCAATTACCACATTCAATGAATTGCATTCAATTTCCCTCGAAGATGCAGCCCAGCAATTATCTTCAAGATAATTCTCCAGAAGTTCATCCAAACGCCTCTTCTCTCTCCTCTTCTCTCTCATGTTCTTACTTTGTTCCCCTTCCCATTTTCTCTGCAAAACCCTAACTCTAATTTCTTCATCGATCTCTCCCCAAAAAAATGAGTATCAATCCAAATCAGAATGAGTCCCTTGAACGCCTCACCCCTGAGACGAAGACTGAGCCTTCGTTTACTCGCTACAAGGCGCAGCGAGGAACTGGAATAATGAAACCAGTTCATCGGTGCTCTTCTTCGTTTTCCAGATTCACCCATGGAAAAATTGGAGCGAAACTCGTTGAGTACACTGGGAGTGATGAGGAAGAGGAGCAGGGTGCGACCTTATATCTAGAGAAGAAGGAGGTTGTGTGTGTGAACACTTCGAGTGCTGAAGAAGAGGAGCAGGGTTCGAGGGAAGATCTAGCAAAGAAGGAGGTCCCTAGTTGAGGCACCCGTAGTGGTGGTGGAGGTTCCTGACTTAGCTCCCTGGAGGAGGTGACTGTGGTCTTCCCTAAGTCTCCAATGGCTCCGACCCGTGTTGGTTCCGCCAGTGGGAGGAAAAGGGCCAGATCTAATTTTACAGTCGACTACAATGACTGGGACCCTACTTATATGGCCTATCTAAAGGACAAATACCCTCAGGACTTCCCTCCCACTAACTGATCTTGCAGCGTAACTATTACTAAACCCTAATTTTGATTTTAGTTGTTTCGATTTAGCTTTGTGTTGTTTAGATGGTTGTTTTTGGTGTTTATCATTGTCGAAAATCATGTGAAGTGTGTGCATGTGAGTTCCTACAACTGTTTGTTGGTTTATTATGCTGCTTGATTGTGTTGTTTGGATGTTTATGCTGGTTGATGTGTTTCATTAGCTTTAAGTAGCCTGTTGGATTATTTTGGATGGATGTTTGAGTTCCCTGCTGGATTTTGCTTATGTGTGCTTGTGTATATGATGCTGGATTATGTCGGATTGTTGTTTGTGTACCCTGCTAGTTTTTGTTTATGTATGCTCGTGTATATGATGCTGGATTATGTTAGATGGATTATGTTGGATTGGTGTGCTTGTAGTGTTGGAATGGCCAAGGGAATGCATGATTGATGGATGATGGGTTATGTTGGATGGTTGTTTGTGTATAGTCTCATTTGAATGTTGCCTAGTAGTGCTTGCAAGTCAGTGCATGTGTCTTTGTGTATGAGTCCCCCATAAAGTGTTTTATGTGTGAAAAAGTTCCAAATGATGAAGTGACTCACTTTGAGTTGGATGTGTAGGTTAGTTTTGCTCCAACAAGTGCCTTTTTAAACTTGTTGTTGAGGTAACAACCTACAACATGTCACTAAAACAAAAATAAACTCCCTAATGGAATTCATTTTGAAGATGCATCCTCATATTCATTGATTACAATTCAAAAGGTTACATGTTAACAGTCCCTTAACCTAATCATTTATTACATGAATGCCTAAAAATAAGGAAGTTTATCTACTAAAATACACATAACCAAAGCATTATAAGCATGAACAAAAAACAGTTGCTTAATTACTTAAGACGAAAACCAATTGTGAGTCTATCTTTGGTTATGTGTGGAAGTCATGTTGTCATTGAATGATGGTCATCTGTTGTACCTAGTCTGCATCAACCTCTCTTTGCATGTAGTCTGCATTGTCTTGATTTGTTGGAATAAAAAGAGTGTTGAGGTGCTCAACTACTTGTTGAATGAGTCCACTTTCAACTTCCAAAAACTCAGGAAGAAGACCTAGGTTGTCCAACCTTTTCTTGCCCACATGAGGTGGATTGAAGTTGTTACCCCCTTCTTTCTCTAAAAATCTTATTCATTACTCCTTGCAAAGTGATCCATGTGTACTTGTTGAGTATTGGATCAAACCATTCATAAGCCTCATACACTTACCCTATTAGTTCATCAATTTTTGTGGGAAAGGACTGGTATTGCAAGGACCAAATGACCTTGCAAAGACCAAGGTCCAGAACATTCAGATCTAGAGATTGTGCTGGTTGAAACATCATTTGAATGTTGAACCATTAGTTCTACATGCTGCAATGAAGTCACCATCCCTTGGAATTTGATGTGGCTTTGCATTGTCTCATTCAATGAATATGTCTATAAACAGACTATGATGTCATTGCCTGTGTAGTGCTGGAATTATGTTGTTCATGAGCATTTTCCTGATTTCTTCTTTAGTCACACTCTGCAAAGCCTTTTTGTCTCCATGACCCCTGCATCTTTGTTCTTGCTTTTCTTCTTAGCCCTTTGCTGGTAAGTAAATGGAAAAATTCCATACTTACCATCATGTAGCATATTTCCATTGATGTCATAAAGGGGCTTACCAATCATCCCCATGAACATAGCTTTAATCTTGTATCTCTTGGCCGGATTGCTGACATCTGTATGTAAAGCTAGGCATGGGTCGGGCTGACATGCGGGCCGCCCAGCACAGCACGCTTCTCAGTGGGCACGGTATGACCCGGGGTGGTGGCCCGGCACGGCACGGTGGCCTGCCAGCGTGCCGTGGGCCGTGCCATGGACAACATGCACGTTTTTCAAGCACGGCCCGGCACGAGCACGCTGGAAAGCCCGCGTGCTGGCCCGTGGCACGGCCCGCCAGGCACGACTTTCGTGTCGGCCCAGCCCGCGTGCCAATGGTAACAAACAGCTAGTAGTCGTTGCTCCAACAGCCATAAACGGCTACTTTTTTTGCCATTTTGCTCCCCAAATTCTCTATAAATACCAAATTTCATTGACTTCCCAAATCACAAAATTCACAATCTCTTCTTCTAATCTCTTATATTCTCTAATAATCTTTTATCTCTTATATTCTCTTAAATTCTCTAATTACTACCTCTTAATAACGAAAAAATTAAAAGTTCGTAATCGTTATTAATGGAAAGCGTTGAAGCACGGTTGTAAGATCTAAACTAATCTTTAATTTATTATTGTTATTATTGTTATTGTTATAATTATTGTTATTAATTATTATTATTATTCTTATAATTTTTGTTATTAATTATTATTATTGTTATAATTGTTGTTAGTAATTATTATTATTGTTATTATTATTGTTATAATTGTTGCTAGAAATTATTATTATTGTTATAATTATTGTTAAAATTGTTGCTATTAATTATTATTATTGTTATTGTTAATTATGGCATCACCAAACACAAACAATCCATCATCCTCCAGGAAAGTCCAATTTGTCCATGGTAATAAGTCTAGAGAAGTGTTTAGGGTGAAAATACCATAAGACACGTGGCCCAATAAAGGCTTGACACGTGTCAATCTTTCAATGGTCTGCAAAGGCCCAATCCCTTTGCGACACGTGTCCCTTGTACCCTAATTGAGATACAGTTCACACTTACTATAAATAGTAAGGGTAGACCTCATTTATGGGGATCACACATTAATTACAACCACACAAAAACAAAGCCAAAAACCTACTGAAACGCTCTCGAACCGAGAAGCTTTTATCGTTCTTATTCCACTTCGAAAAGATACTAACTTAATCTTCGGAGGCGGAACTCCCACCCCCATCCGGAGTCTCCGTTACTTGTGCAGGTACAGGCGTAAGAAGGAAGTCTGCTAGGAAATCGTAACTCTCCCGAAGGACATAAAAGACCCCCAAACATCTGGCGCCGTCTGTGGGGAGAGTACTTTCTAGATGACATCTGAGCCTATACTACCTGGAAAAGGCAATCTGCCTACTGGTGAGGTTGAGGTCCACTCGGACCAAGACACATCCGACAATCATGAAATTGAAGCCTACACGGCTGCCGATGGTTCCTTCAGAACCAAGCATACTCGTTCCAAAGACAAGAGGGAACGATCAGAGCAGCAGGCAGGCCCAAATCATCCTACTAGGGGACCGCTTGGGTTGACTCCCGCTTCAGAGGGAGCCACCCCAGTCTCCAGAGATGAACTCATGAGCATGATGATGAGCTTCAAAGGAGAGATCAGAGGCCTTCTGGGCAATACAGCCGGCCCCCGCAAGGGTCAGGCGGAAGAAAGGCATCTGGGAAAAAAGACGGCCAAAACGGTCAAGGGTAGAGCCTCTACCCCGCATCCGAAGTCAAAGGAGCCGGCTAGGCCCTTTGATCTCTAAAAAATACGCACTCCCGTAGTTGGAGTCAGAAAGCCCGTCCGGCACATTCAGCCGGATGGAACCAAGAAAGTCTATTCTGATGCCCGGACGCTCATCCAAGATAAAAAGACCCAGCGATCCGAGTCAGCATCAACATCGACCTTTCGAGACAGCTTCAATGCCACCTCAGGAAGGCACTCGAGAACAAACAATGACAGCCGGACGAGCGAGGTTTCCGCTCGATCCGGCCCCCATATGATCCAACCGGCAGTGCATGGAACACCGTATACGCCCTTTGGATCCCCCTATGCACAGGCAGGTATTTTCGGGGGGCAGCATCAGCCGCCCGTCCAGCCTATGGACTGGCAGCTCCGGCTGCTCAACCTTGGGGAACAGCCAACGGCGTTCTCCAGAGAAATCACCGAGATGACCCAGCCGTCTAAAATCAAAAACGTGTTGGTAGGCGCCTACGACGGTACCACCAACCCGGAAGATCACCTCATGGCATACACCAACCTGATGTATTTGCAGGGTTTGGATGACGCCTCATGGTGCCGGTGCTTCCCGGCTACGTTGAAAGGGATTGCTCAACGTTGGTTTGGTAACCTCCCAGCCGGATGCATCAATAATTTCAGGACCTTGGCCTACTGGTTTACGTCCAACTTTTCTATGAACATCCCTGCCAAGAAAACAAGCCTTGATCTAGGGGCAATACAACAGGGAGACAAAGAGGGGCTCCGGTCATATGTCAGGCGGTTCAACCTGATGAGGATCCAAATCCATGGATATTCTGATGACGTTGCCTATACTGATTTCTTCAAAGGCTTAAAAGATGGATCAACTTTTAAGTTTGACTTGGTTAGGAAGAGGGTCTCCACTCTTCACGAGGCGCTCATGAAAGCGGAGGCCTACATTCAGGCAGTGGAATTGTGTGCTGTTAAACTTCCAACGGATT